GCGCAAATACAGACTTTGGGTCGGAGAACCTGTAGATCAAGCACGGTACTCTTGACATGCGGCCGTGTTTTGTAACCGGGATGTGGTCGCCTCCAATGGGCTTACTAGAGGTTGCCAGAAGAAGTTACGCGTTTTTGCAGCCTGCTTGTTCTAGATAGGGTGACCAGTTTTTACCAGGCGAACTGGACATTGACTGTAAAATGACGTTCAAACTGTTCCGAAAAGTGTTCTCGTATCTCTTCAGCAAATACGACAAATACGATCTGCTCGACGGGAGTTACTGAAAAGCAAGTACACGCTTTGGTCTGACATGAATAGGCAGGCGGTCACGTCTCTGCATTTGTTGTAGAACACCATATGCGGATAATTTTGGTAGCAAATTCATACAAGGAGATTTGGGTCCACCCTGTATACTAATGTAATAGCTCTTCGCTTTGGAAATAAAATCTGATAAAACGCTCTTCTTTCTGACAGCTTCTGACAGTTATCAGCCTACTTTCGCTGAAACTAGTTAATAAGAATTCCGTTTTAGGTAGGTGTTTTTCAGTTTAATTTCATGTCTTAGATCTCTTGTGAATAAATCCTTCGGTTCATGAGGTCAAAAACCAATTAAAGTACTATTTAGTTAAACCTACAAAGGGGTCAGTTTATGTACTGGGAGTGTAAAATAATTTTTACCCTTTACATGAAAGAAAATGGCGTTTATTTAAAAATAACTATGCTTTGTGTTTTGTTCGAAGTATTGCCAGTGGACAATTTTAAAATGTGTACAGTTTTGTGTAACCGATAGTTTTCGCGATACAACTTTATTCATTTTTTGAAGCAATACACTAATCGATTGACGTTTAACTTTATCGCAGGAATACATGCACTGTTTGGCAAGCCCATGTTATATCAACCGAGACAAAGGACAATGTGATGAAGAAATGTACGATGACCACGGCAAATTTAGGCAAGCTTCTTAAGGAATTCGGGCGTTTCGTACACTCGCTGTTCAACATCGGGCCTAGCATTGTGATGTTAAATTCACCTCGGAGAATTCATCATATTCTGCCCTTTTTGCATTTTATTCCTCGGCTTCAATTGATTACTTCATGTTTGAATCACTCAGCAGTAACACCTACAGACTGCATCATCAACGCATAGTAAAAATCATTTTGTTGCTACCGGTCAAGATGTTATGCAAAAATGGTTGTCTTGAAAGCCATAATTTATACGTGGTTTCGTGATTTCTAGCTGTCTCTCAGTCAATAAATATTGCAGTCTAATTCGTCTTGTTTTTATCATTATCAATGCATGCCAATGGCAGTCCACAGTGGATATGTCTATGTTTAATACTTTTGTCATTTCATTGATATTCTAACATGGATCGTAATCGGTTCACGTTCCCAAAGCTGAATCCGAATAATTTCGGCTGCACTAAACGGCCTTTAGTATCTGTGTCAAAATGATTACTTCTAAGGCATTTAAACCATTTTGTATGGTCTTTCAAAAAATAAGATAGTTTCTACAAGCTTCCACAAATAAGTGATCGCTTTCATCAGCACTATTCGAATTAAAGCAAACATCAACGCTTAGCTTAAATTTTTCTTAAGGCACAAAAGTCTCAATCCTTTTTATCATAAAATATTGATGATAATTTTAAAAGGTTTTACGTTAAATTTGATAAATTTGTTAAGCTGAGGGGCCTTGTAATGCATGTGTTGCCGTTATCATTAAACTTAGTGCAGCATCTGTTAAACTATGTAAAACAGAAATGCATTTCCTACATTATCATGAACGATAAGTTCTTCTTTTTCTTTGTATTTTGACTGATTAATCTATTCGCTATAATTTAGTAGAGTGTATATCTAATGAAATTTGAAGATCAACATTTCAGTGGGAGATTTGATACATATTTTAAGGTTTCTCATTTTGTTCAATTAGTTGACTTGAGGGGCGAATGCTGCTTACTAGAAACAAGTTCAGTTCACATCAGTGAAATCGGAGAAAATAGATGCAGAATTGGACCAGATCCAACGTTAGCTGATATCCAAAGAATTCCCTACGCCATTAAACGATGCGGACCAAACATTCTTGTTTGTACGTGTTGTACTATAAAAGAACAGCAATAAAGACCAAAAACGTTTTCATTATATCTGCTCACAGACCAAAATATATTGTTTTGCTTTCCAAGAATTGAGGTAAGTGTAAGTATGGGATAAAGCATTAGTATCGGGAAAAGAAGAGCGGAGTCAGTTTATAAAATTCTGCTTTGCGAAGCTGTTACTTTTTGTGCCATAAAGCTAAATGATAAAATTATGAGACCGCAAGTTCTTTTAGTACGCCGAAAATAGTTGCCGTAATCAAGAATTTATATAAAATTTCGCGAAATGTCATAAGTTTTCTCTGTAACGCCGTAAACGAATACAGCCCAACACTGTCATTATAAAGAACATAATCAATGAATATCAAAACTTGAAACGAAGCCGGCAGATGATTACCAATTTCAGAAATATCGAAGCATATTTATATTGTATTATATTTTGTCCCTCTGGTGTGCATTTGCAATCAAACAACGTGGCCTAGAATTAAAAGAAAATGCTGAAAACTGCTCCGGTAAAGATAGAAAAGTGAGGTCTCCTTAATTTTCAGGAGGAAATTTACCCCTTAGTTTTACGGAAGTCAAAAACTGGTCGACGTTTCCGGTTTTAATCTCGACTTCATCTTCAAAAAAGGGTGAAGTACATTGATATTCAATACCGAAGTATCTAATTAAAGCGCTATTTTCAAGAGGTAACTTGTTAAAGAAATTTTTTAACTAATCTTACGTGTATTCATTTGCGTCTTTTGTTGTGGAAGTTCACTTTCTCGGCAATGAGTTGGCATGTTTGGGTGATTATAAAAACCATGACCCAAAGAGACAGCTACATAAGAGCAAAGCGTTTAAAAAATCGTTATTATTCTTATTATTACGGTTATTATTATTTTCGAAAAATGTCCAACTTTGAAGTGTTTGGTAAAAAGGTAGAAATAATCGATATTTAGGGACATGCGAAGGAAAACACTGAAGTTCGTATAATGTTAAGCAGAATTTCAAGAACAATCCGTAACTCGTCGAACTAGAACTTTCAAAATAATTACAAAGGAATTCGACGAAAGGAATTTTCTAAATATACACAAGATGTATGAATTTGATTTAAAGTACAACATCAATCTATTTTTTATTAAACAGCCACCCTCTCTTTTTGCAGCCTCCAGTCTATTTTTATTCTTGCCAAGAGCCCAGACCTGATTCCTATAGAAAACCATTTTGCAACTATCAAAAGAAATTTCCACAAGGCAAACAAGAATCTTTCGATGCAGGGAAAGAACATACAGAAGAAATGACTATAAATAACTGGTCGACGTCTGTGTCTGACAAGTTTAATGCTGCTTTCAATGTTAAAAAACGATCTAAAAGTACTTAAGTTTTGCATTTTTGATTATGCTGTATAACTTTGCCTTTTTTGGCGCTCCTCTGCCTTAAACACATTTATATTTAACAATAGGTCAGTGCTGTGTAATAAAGGTATTTTCTTAATTTCGTGCTCGCCGCAAAAGATGGCAAAAGGAGCGCTACAAGGACGCTATGAAGAACTCCCTGAAGCGTCATCAAATAAACACTGCGATCTAGGTAGAACTCGCGCAGTGCCCAGCTACTTGGCGAAGAACGGTAAACAATTGGCGTGGATATCTGTGAAGCCAGTCCGATCGCCGCCGTCAAGTCGAAAAGGACGGCTCGAAAGTCTCAAAGTTAACGGACCCACGCTCTCAATGCCCAACCCCTTCCAACTTGCCCGCGCTGCCAATTCACCTGCCATGCATGCATCGGCGTGGTAGGTCATCTCCGGACGCAGTGCGCCATCCCTACGACAGCACCCAATTCTACGGCATCAAGCACTTCAAAAGTCCCTCCTGTGTCCAACACTTCGACGACGACCAACTTCACCATGGAAACCTAAATATCCGATACTCCGCCGCCCTCATCCGCCGACACCATCTTCCCTCCTGCGACCTAACGCCTAACCCTCCCCACTCCCTCCGGCGCATCACCGCTTGTCACCACCCTCATCACTAAATCTGAACCATCTACCAGCACTGGATGCTCGAGTCTAATCAACC